TATAATGTATAAGGAAAATGATGATATGGAAAATTTCAGTGATTAGATGGGGAGCTGCAGCTGGGTTTGAGGAAGGGCTGAAAAAGTGTTGTCCTTATTCAACACTGCTTATTTAAAGCCACTGCTCCAAAGTAATCTAACACTGCAAAGATGACCATTATAACATAAAGAGGATGTGGTACTAAATGGTGTGCAAGAAGTGTGAACAGACCTGTGCTTGGATCGTGATGGGTTACACCCTGTTGCTGAGCGGTGGCAGGCTGTTGAGGCTGAGGCTGGGGTGCTGGCTGCTGTCGAGCCTGGGGCTGAACCTGATATCTGGCCTTTTTCCCCTTAGCCTGAGTCTGAGTCACGGTCAGAACTTTTTTGTCATTTAGGGGTACAGTCACTCCAGTACTGAGGGTTTGAGTGGAGGCTTGCACCTGATGACTACTGCAAGGTGTACCATGGTGATGGTGTGGCTGGGTACAGGCAGTGGGCATACTTGTTTGGACTGTAGCAGTTGCATTGGCAGACGCAGTTGTGGGCGCAGTAGAGGTTGTCACACGCACTGATGATTTGGATGCAGCAGGGGTTGGGAGAGGTGGAGGTACAGGGACAGTTGTTGCTTGTGTGGCTACTGCAGCAGATGATGCAGGCACAGGCAGTGGTGGAGATGAGGAGTCGGAAGGGGAGGAGGCTGCGCCACCATCAAACAAAATATGTTAGTATTAGAAAAGGCAACAGCTAGATTATTGTTGAACATTCTCTCTGGACTCAGTTAAACACACAAATTTGTTTACTTCTCAGTAGAACATAAAGTCATTAAAAGAATAAAGTAAAAACTGTTCCAGTGAGCAATGATGTGGGATTAGTGGTGAATCTAACAGCTGCTAAGCAGCTCACGTGAGGACAAATAACCATTACTTTTTTAGATGTATTAAATAGGTTAAAGTTAAACTGATACTGAGGTAGAATTTTAAGGAATTAAACAGGAACAGGCCTGGCTAAATGCAATAGTAGATAGCACATGCCCTCTTGCTAAAAATTACTTCTTGTTATGAAAGGATGCAGCATTTGTGTAGGAATTACAGCTCCCTAAGACGGACAGAAAAAGCTTCTACACTCACCAAGTTGTGGACTTGGCAGTAGCAACTGAGGCTGGAAAGAAGTTGGTATGGTACTCGATGTTGATGATGCAGTTCCAGCAGCGGCTGCTGCTCGATTAGCTAGAATCTGAGTATTGGTGGCATTGGCAATCACTTCCAAACTGCATGGTGCACTGCCAGTTGTCAGCTGATATTGCTGGTACTGGAGTTGCTGTGTGCGAAGGAGAAAACGAAAATTATAGATATCATGGTCCAGTTTTTGTAAGAGACACAGACAAAAAGTGAGAAAACAAACCTCCTCTCCCTCTAATCCACTCAAGCTAGTGCTCACCTGCAGAGCAGGGTGCTGGGCACCTGATGTTGGCACTGCATAATACTCTACACGGCTCATGTCCCCTTGGACCTGATGGGCTGCTGCCATAGCAGTGATTGCTTCTCCAAGAGAAGCTGTAGGAAAAGCTTGTTGGAAATTCTCAGCTTGAGAACAGGCTTCAGCTGAAATGAGATTTAAGCAAAGTTACATATAAGGTGCAACAAAACATGACTTTCAATTTGTACTTAAGTTAATTAATTACCATTGATATCATCCAAGGCTAGTGCCTGTAGTGCTTCAAGAGAGTCTACAACCGCACTTGCCAAGTGCTCTCTGTCCAAGGTACCATGGTCAACCTGGTCAGAAAGAAGTTCGGCTAATTCATCAGGCCCCCCTGGAAGCATTTGCTGCAGGGTTCTTAAATTAGGTTTCTGATGCAGAACTTGATGAACATGGTGGTGGAGTTGTTGAGGGGAAGCTGCTGTAATTGAAGGGTCTAGTTGCTGAAGGTGTGCAATGAGTTGGCTAGGCGTTAAGATACCACCAGCTGCAACTTTGGGGTCAGCAGCAGCATCTACTGGTAGTGCTTGTTGAGGTGGGTGGTGGAGGTGAAGTTGCTGATGTCGCTGCAAAACCTATCACATAAAATTCATTAGATGAGACACAATGAAATCAGGAAGTCAAAGCAGAAATAAATTGATTTATTCTTACCTCCTGATCAAGGGTTTGTACACGCTGATCCACTTGTTGGTTGTGAATCTGTGCTAAGTTCACAGCAGCGGCTGCAGTTGCAGCACATATCCTTGAATTCTGGCCTAATTGGGCAGCTTGAGCCATTTGAGCAGCTTGAAATGCCAATTCTTGAGTGACAGCTTGAACAATTTGCTGCTTTCTTGCTTTCTGACCTTCTTTCTTGGTTGCTGGTTTGGCTTTTGGACGATCACTAATTGCTGTTGACTGGTTGACTTCAGCAGAACTAGTAACAGTTTGAGGTGGTGTTGAGGGTGGAGGCGGCAGATAGATTGCAGCTGGGTTGCTGGTGGTTACAGTTGCGGTGGTGGTGGTGGTGGTGGTACTTTGGGAATCTGCTAGAATTTGTAAAGGAACCTGCAGTTTAGGCAATGATGTTCCAGACAAACTCCCTGGTGAACTGACAGCCCCCTTTTGGGTGGATAAAGAGGGCTGAGGCTCAGGAGGGGTTGCTGAAAAGGATGTGGCTGGACTTGATGTTTGAGGAGCAACCTGTTCAGGAGTCGCTCCAGCTGAGGCATCAGAACTAGCGTCGTAACTAGCAAGAAGAAGCTGCTTCTCTTGTTCTTCCTCCACTCGCTGTAAGTCTGCATAGATTTGCTGACGCAGCAACTGCTCACCAGTGCTCCCTTTGTCCAGGATATTGCTCTCTTCCTTGGAGAGAGCAGCTCCTCCCTCTCCCGGAGGTACATTCTTTGCTTGCTGAGCCTCTGCAGATGTGAGCACATTGTCTTCAGCAGCTGCTGCAGTTCGACTTTTGCGAAGTAGAGATTTCTTCAGGTTGTCTGATCCTTCAGGTGAACTACTAGCACTGAACAGGGTAACATTTGGATCTGGACTTGTTGGACTGCCAGTCTTGGAAGAAGAACTGATGTTGAGAACAGCAGCCGGACTAACTTCTTCTTGAGGGAGGGCTTGCACAGCATCAGGAACAGCAATCAGTCCAGCTTGTTGGACATGGCGCTGTTGGTGTAACTGTTGAACTTGTTCTGGGGAGACTGGGTGACTTGGCAACTGAGCTTGCGTCGGTGACTGAATCACTGTAGGTTGAGATTGGGGAAGGGTCTGAGCTTGAAGTTGAAGCGGAGGATGGGACTGGATTTGAGGCTGGGAATGAGGAGGTTGTGTTTGAGGTGGTGATTGCTGTTGAGGGGTAGCTGAAGGTTGCTGTTGACCACTCATCATAATGGAATGGGGGTAGTCAAGTAGGAGCTGTACAACTTTTGTGTGTCCCCCTTTGGCAGCCTCTATTAGCATTGTTGAATTATCCTTCAACTTATGGAAAGGATCAGAATTGTGCTGGAGCAGTAGCTGTACTACTGCAAGGTGTCCGCCTGCAGATGCTAGAGAGAGAGGTGTGTGGTCGTTATTTGTGCTTTGTCTGTTAACATCAGCACCTTTCTGGATAAGGAATTTCACTGTGCACTGATGCCCAGCTCGACAAGCTTTCATCAAAGGTGTTCGGCCTCCTTCTGACTCATGCTCCTGAAAATAGATAACATGATTTAGAGACAAACATCATGAGCACAAAATAAAATCTTTACATGCACAAGTAGATACTAACCAAATCTGAACCATACTGAAGAAGCAGGTCAGCCACATCAGTGTGTCCATTTTCACAGGCATAAGTCAGAGCAGTATCCCCTGTTTGAGTTTGTGCAGTCACATTGGCATTTTGATCCAGCAAATATTTCACTAGCTCAAGATGACCTTCTTGAGCTGCTTCCATCAATGGTGTCGAGGAACCAAGTTCCAGGTCAGCACCGGCCTTCAAGAGAAAGTCAGCAACTTCTAGAAAACCCCCACAACATGCTAGGGTCAGAGCAGTCTCTTGAGTCTCTTCCGTCTGGGCATTGATGTTGGCTCCCTGACTAAGAAGTAGTGCAACCATTTCCTCATGGCCTTCACGAGCGGCCTCCATGAGTGGTGTGTAGCCTTCATCATTGACTTCCTCAATATTGGCACCTCTTTCTATGAGCAACATAGCCAGGTCTACATGGCCACCACAGGCAGCTAGAGTCAGAGGAGACTCGAAGCTATCTGTGGGCATATTAACTTGAGCACCAGAATCAAGAAGAAGTTTGGCTACTTCCACATGACCATCCATGGAGGCCTCCATAAGTGCAGTGTGCATTTCATCTGTTTTATGTTCTTGGTCTGCACCTGCCTCAAGCAGAAACCTTACCATATCTAAATGACCTTTATAACATGCAAGAGTGAGGGCTGACTCCTTGAACTCATTAGAATGAGTATTTATACCAGCTCCATGTTCTAACAGAACCTGTGAGAAAAGTGAAGGTTTAATAAAAATGTAGCGCGAAGAAAATGTATTACTATTGAAATAATTAAGATATCTTACTTTGGCAACAGCTACTTTCCCAGCACTAGCTGCTTCCATTAAAGGAGTGTGCCCATTCTCATTGTGATCTTCAACATTGGCACCAGCCTCGAGTAGGACTTTTACAACTTCACTGTATCCACCAGCACAGCCATACATTAAAGGAGTGTTGCCTGAAATTGGTGTGGAAAAAAAGGATGTGAAAAGGGACGAAATACATTGATAAGGCAAAAAACGCAAAGAGCAGAAAATTTGTTGAAATTCTTACCAGATGAGGACTGGGCATTAACATCAGCACCATGAGCAATGAGAAGTTTGACAATATCAACATGGCCTGCAGATGCTGCTTCCATCAAAGGGGTGCAGTCCCCCTTGATTCCACGGTCTTCAACATTTGCATTCATGGCTAACAAAACCTAATGGGTAAAAAAAATAAAATAAAAAATAGACCAATATGATGATAAATGTTGTTCCACAGACAAAAAAGGGCAACAAAATTTACCTGTGCTAGCTCATAATAGCCTGCTGAACATGCAAGAGAGAGAAGACTCTCCCCCTCCTCAGTTGTTTCATGGACACTTCTGCCTTCTGTTAAAAGCTTTTTCACTGTTCCCACATCACCATCACTGCATGCTTCAACCAATGACCTTGAAAAACGATAATATTTTTTTACAGAAAATGTAATACAATTAATCCTGCTGATGCTCCTTCATTAAAAAATAGCTTGCTAACCTTGTTTCTTGTTGGGGTCTCTGATTTTCATTCCTCATCCTTGTAAGTGCTGCAGCCGCCTCATCCAATGCACAGGATACACTCGACGTTAATCGCCTCAAAACTTCAGGATCAGATAGGTGCTTTCCATCTCCACTTGAAAGCTTCCCAATACCTAGAGAGATAAGTTGTTTCAATTAAACTGAACACTAAAAACAAAATGATTGATTGATTGAATGTTTAACTAACCAGCAGCTTCTAGAAGGGCTTCTAGTCTTGCTTGTGTTTCAGGATCAACAGCATGCTCAGACTCATCAGATGCCAAAAGGAACTTTGAGGCCTCCAATCGAACTTCATCGTCCAAATCCTGGTCAATAACGAACGACTCCACCTTACAAGAAGCAATGACATTTTTCTATGGTTTACAAAACAACTTTAAATCAAACCACAAATTGCTACTGGAAAGGAATGGATAATGGTCTGAAGGGCTAAATTTGAATCTAAAGCAATTGAAAATTATAGACTTAGGTCGCTTCTAACGTATTATAAAATGGTGGATGAGAAGCAGTCATGATAACATATCCGAATGTGAAACGAATCAGAACCATAGTTAGAGACTTCAAATTCGTTTCAATGAAAGCCAAAATTAAGACTTTAAAAATGCAATAAAATAGAAGGAATTGAGCTGTGCATACTGGAGTTTGTGCATTGATGTTAGAATTAAAACCAAAATACCTTTCATAAAAAAAAAAAATACAATGGCTATTTTTATTAAATTAATGGAACTGAAAAGCCTTCAGGATTAATTGTGGAAACCGAGGTAACTTTAGGTAACATAATTTTTGAAGAAATAACAGGGAAACTCAAGCTACTAGACCAAGATATTTGATAAGATTGAATAAGTTGATTTCGAAATGAAAACCTCAGCAAAAATCCATTGAAAACATCACACATCACAAGCAGATACTTCTGATTGCAATTGAAAAAGCAAAAGTATCTTCAAAGCAAACAGTGTAACTGTAAAGAGGAATTTTTAAAACAAGTGAAGATTTGTATTGGAAGTTAATTTGTCTCAATTAACCAAAAAATGAGGTTAGTGACATAGCAACTTTTCAGAAAATAAACACCTGCTTTATGAAGCCAACAACTGAGAAGGAATATTCAGCATTCCTAAACGGGCATAGTATTTGGTATGATAAACAACAATAGTAGAGATAATTAAAAGTATTTCAATTACTCATACTATCTACATCTATCTCTCTCACACACACATATCCACGCTCATTCATTCATGAAATACGATCTAATCAACGTTCGAGACACGACAAAAACGTTTGCAAACAAAAGAAAAAAAATAAATATGCATGTTTTCAGCAGACAGGGCGAAAGAAAAACAAATACTGATCAGCAAAATAAGAAAACATTGCCCTTGCCATGGACTACGAGGTGGTACCCCCATGCCTAGGCTAGGTTACCCCTCCCTTCGGAAAACTTGAAAACAGCGTACAATAACGATTATTGGTGCTTAAGTGGCAAAAAATGGGGGAAAAAATTGCACCGAATGTAATAATACCAACAGAAATAGAAGAATGCGAGTAAAAACGTGTCAAAACTGTAGTACAGTGCTAGCGAGCCTCTAACCACATTTATTACGAGTGGCCTAATTACCAGGGGCCAATGACAGCTGCTGCTTAAACTACTAAAACGCCTTAAAACATAGCAAATATAAATTCCGCCCCATTGAATAGCTATTCAAACCGTATTATGCAAAACAACACACGAATTCGGGGTCTATGGCCTGGGCTAGGCCATGTCCTCGGCGTTGTGAATTCACGTACTTCACGGCACAACTTCCACAAAGCAGAGGGTAAGGGATCAGAAATTGTCTATCTTGCCAATATTCGACACTGGATTCGCTAGTCACACACTCATTGATTAAAACTCATCTCTATATTAGGCCTAACTTAAGCCTACTTTGTCTCATCATTTTACTATGCCACAAGATGTCTCTTGACGAGGTGTAAGGATGCAGAAACTCCTCAATTAAGGATAGACCCACTAACTTTGTCAGCAGCGCACAAAATATTATACCTCGGAGACTTCGTCCTCTTCGCTGTCCGATGAATCACTCATAGATCTCGGTTGATGTTCCGAAAATGTATCCGTTTCTGATTTGGTAGGACTCGAGTTGGAAGAATGGGGTGTCGACGATTTCCCCAGGTCGAGGATGCTCACTTTTTCCACTTTCTGGCCATCAGAAGAGGATCCTTGTGCAACATTCTGCATTTTTAACTAAACTTTATATGATATCACATCAATCTGCAGTGTTTCGTACACGAAATATACTACGCACACAACTCAATATTCGTACTTTGTATTCCAATCAGCATCATTCACCCGAAAATACTCGCCATGTCTACTACGGTGAGGGTCCCTTCCCCTCCCGGATGCTTCCGCTGATACGCGCGAGCCATCTGTAGGCCGTCAGCTGAACCACGCCACGCGCTCTGTGGTGAAATATGTGAACTACATCTAACTTAGGCGGTCAATTCGCATGAAAACCGGCCGGCTCCAGCCTATCGTGATGGTTCCCCGTCTGTAATTTCAATTCCTTGATGCATGTGCCACACAATCACTTTAATTGATGCATAAACTTACGTGCGTCAGGCATTGACAAGCAACATATGTTTTGACTTTCGTAGAATCACCACCCTTCCACCACCTCCACTACCCCCTACTCGGGCGGGCACGGGACGGGGTTTGTGTGACGGATTTTCATGATTACCTAATCATTACGAAACAGTAGAGATGCGCAGAAACCGAAAGTCTAATAATAGACATGAACTTAGGTGGGAAGAAGTTGTATGTAGTAAAGAAGCTCTCCGATAGAAGGGAATTTCATCTTTTCTCATGATGCGATATGCCGGTGGTCAATATGGTCAACCAATGATGTTCGTCCATCTTGTCTCTCTGGAACAGACCCAATCGGCGATCGTGACGGTTGGAGCCAAGAAAATTTGAGGAATCTAGATTTTAATCAAAGTAAGCACTTTTCTTCACATATTTATTGTAAGTCATGTTTAATTTGTTTGCCTGCCTCAAGTGGAGCATTGTCACTATTTTTTAAGGAGGAGGCATCTTTAATTTCAATGCGTGATAACGAATAACGTCTGGTAACGCCTTAGCGGTAGGGTTGGTTTATTTCCTTTTTTGGAGAGTTTGCCTCAGACATTTATACTTAATTAATTTTACAGTCATTTCGCAAGTTCTTTCAGTTTTCATATATTTTTAGTGGTGTTCAACATCGATTTTACCTTACTACCAACTCTTCTATGATTTTGTGGTACCTCTGTAAATGTAAATCTGTCATTGTTTGTTTTGGGACAAACCTTATTATCATCTCAAATATTGTTATGAATGTAAACACCCCCCTAAACTTATTTAGCCTTTTAGTTAGTTTATGTAATATATTTTCATTTTTTTGGACCTATCTCTACTCTACGTTTGTTGCAAATCTTACATTGTCACACATGTCCTCTGTGCGTCATCAAAGCAAAATATTACAATTGAGTTAACATATATTAATTAAATATTATTGGGAGATATTTAATCGATTTTGTCTGGTGTGCGTTTTGTTCTAGTCGACATTGTTGTAGAATGACCTGTGGTACAGGAGTGCTTAATATTTGGTAGTAAAGCAGCATATATTAACATCGACTCTCCTCTATGCACTGAACATTCACTGTACTCTAAGAATTTTGTTACACTAAGCTTTGCCACAAATGGAGCAGTGATAAACACAACTGTTGCTACATATTTATAAATGAGTCGAGCTATGGGTTTCAGCTCATCTGCATTTACCAAATAACTGTACTCGGTTTTGCTGTCATGACACTCCTTTCGTCACTCAATTATTGGAAAATGTGAACACTTTTTTGAGGATTCCCTTTTACTAAGTAATGCTGCAACCTTGGCTGGAGAGTTCTTCGCAAAAAAAATGATTGTATGTATAGTCTGAAGTTCATCTCTAATGTATGGTGGTGAACCTTGACTTTTGTCGACATGGAGCCCCAGGCTTTAGTGCGAGTGCCAGCGCCAGCGCCAGCAGGGTGTTGCCCGCGCCCGCCGGCCCGCCTGGCATGGCGTTCCGTCGCCAAGGGACTGCCCAGCCCAGGACTGCCTGGGCACGGCCAAGGCATGGACAGGAATAGCGCCTTGGTCTGCTTGCAAGATGTTGCGGCGAAGCGCGCCGCGCCGGGCCCTGCTGGGGTAGAGTCCTATAGGGGAGAGAAACGTCATGGGTGTCTTGCTCATCTGCCAGTAGAATTTTTCATGGCGGCCATCTTGGGGAGACTGCGGGGCGCGCGGGGTTTGACTGTACGCACGACGGAGCGACGTTGGCAGTTACTTCTATTTTATTGCCAACAACAAAGCGATTAAAAAATTGAACCAATGTGGTTTTAGAAAGGACTCTGCTCAAAGATCCTTACGATATATTTAGTTTTTAGTGACAACACTCCAATTAATAAAAGGAAGCGGTGAAAACTATATATTTTTAGTCACAGACCGTAAGGTGTGTGTTTTAATTTGTAATTATAAATTTAAAATTATAGTTAGCTCTAAACTGTATTGAGCGCCTTTTTCGGTAGAGTTTAAGCATTGTTTCCGATATTTTGGCTTTCCGGTACGACTTCTAGTTATTAAGAACGATCAGTATTCGTGCAACATGTTTCCGCAACCTAACCTGCGCGAGCGGCCGGCGGCGGCTGCGGCCGGGCGACGTTGCCAGCAGACGGAAAAACCGGGGAAACTAACTGTTCTCGAAAATACGAGGACGTCCTGTGTTGGTAAAGCATCGATCGGAAACCTAAATTTCATACCCGTTCGGCTCGCTGCATTTTGGGGTGCTGGCTAACTTCTAAATATTAAAAACTGTTGATTTTAGCCGTACGCTTCACGGACTACGGCACGTAAACAGCTGCTAAACCCGAGTCGCCATCTTGAGGGGCACGCGCTTGTGCGCATGCTCACGCGGCCATCTTGGGGAGATTTGGTTTCAGCGGGGAGGAGTGGCGGGGCAGGGTGGGGTAGCGGTATGAGGGATTCATCGACGCATTTCTCGAGTTTACGTTTCTCTCCCCTCTAGGACTCTATGCTGGGGTTCCTGTGCATGGGAAAGAGGGGGGGGGGGGGTGAAAGAGTGCAATGTGTCCGTCCACCGTGAGGCGTCAAAGGGAACGGGGGAAAGGGGGGAATTTGTGTGTAAGGATCAAGTCTGGGCCGGGAGGCCTACCCGGGGCGACCGCGCGTAGGGCTTTGGAGGGGGGGAGGGCGTCGGCCGGGGCCTCGGGTAGCCGCGGGCCACGGCGCCAGTACGATGCGTCAGGGCGGGCGGGCTGGGGCGCACGCGGCGGCCGCGGGGGCGCTGCACCCCGGCGACCTGGGGCGCGGGCGCGGATCTGTGCGCAGCCGGGGCTCCAAGGGCTCCATGGGCTCCAAGGACTCTTCGAGCACGGCGTCGGACCCCCGCGAGCGCGTCAAGGACTGCTGCCGCAAGCTGGTGGCCTTTATGTGCACCCAAGTGGGCGTGGGCGGGCTGGTCGTGAGCTACGCCATAGTGGGGGCGGTCTGCTTCATAAACATCGAGAGCAAGGTGGAGTACCCCGAGCTCGCAGAGGTGCGGGAGCACAGCAAACAGACGGCGGCCCGGCTGTGGCTCATCTCACAAGAGCTCAACGTGCTCAACGAGTCGCTGTGGCGCCGCAAGGTGGACTCGGCCCTGATGGGCTTCCAAGGCGCCGTCGTGGACGCGGCCCGTAAGGGCTACGACGGCCGCACCGCCGAGGCCATGTGGTCCTTCCCCGCTGCCCTCATGTTTTCCCTGTCTATCTTCACCATGATTGGCTTCGGGAACCTGGTGCCGCGGACCACGTGGGGCAAAGCCGCCACCGTGGTGTACGCCGTGTTCGGCGTCCCTTTGTACGTGCTGTACTTCATGAACATGGGCAAGGTGCTGGCCCAGACGTTTCGCTGGCTCTACACCCGCCTGTACGAGTGCTCGACGCCGAGGCCGGCCGGCTCCACGGGTCCGGGGCCGCGGGTGATTGTGCCGTCCACGGCCTGCCTCTGGGTCATCAGCGGCTACGTGCTCACAGGCACCATCATGTTCGCCGAGTGGGAGCAATGGAGCTACCTGGACAGCTGCTACTTCTGCGTGACCAGCCTCTGCAAGATCGGCTTCGGCGACTTCGTTCCCGGCGCCACCCTCAGCGACGGCGAGGGCGACGGCAAGGGCGGTGACGACGGTGGCATCCAGACCCGGCGGGTCATCACCTTCGTGTACCTGCTGCTCGGCCTGGGACTCATCGCCATGTGCTACAACCTGATGCGCGAGGAGGTGCGCGTCAAGGTTCGCCAGCTCAAGGATGATGTTGGCCACTGCCTGGACGAGTTGCATCTGCGAGCCGCGACCTGCTACCGGGGACCCAGCCCGGAGCAGGACTACATGTACTGAGACCACTGAGACACGAGTGCAGTGCCAGAGTTGCCCGGGGCGACAAAAACGGACACTAAGACAGTATTTTTTTTTACGGGGGGGGGGGGGGCTTTTCTGATGCATTTATTCCTTTTCTTTTTTAACTTTGGTGAAGTTAGTATTCTACACACGCGGTGCCACGCCGAACGCTCCCTGCTCCTACGCGCTCTACTCGCCACCGTGCCTTCCCGCCCGTCAGGCTAAATTTACCTCGACCCGACTTGTTGCTGAGCCACTCCGTAGCGCAGACTAGAACCGGCCTGTCTGTAAATGTGTACTCTGTAGTCTCTGAACCACCGTGCCCGAAGACCAACTCAAGCTGGAAAAATGCTGGCAAGAGAACCCCTAGTGCATATACCTATTCAGTGGAAAAGTTCTACTTACTTTTGTGTAGACCATCTTGACACCTGTGCAATTGAAATAAGACCTGCACAGTGAGTTTTAAATATTTTTAAGCATTGTAATTAAATTAAACACAATATTTTAGTAATTCAGTGTTACATTTTGCATATACAATACTATTTTTATCGTGGATAACACTCTAATCTGTTTTCCTTTTGAATCTTTTTGTGTCTGTAACCTTGTGAATGTAACCAGCTCTACTAGTTGTCCTGGATATTGCTCATGTTTTTATCTTTTCCCTTTCCTTTCAGATGGATTTGTGTGTGGGCTTCAAACACTCCATTTTCTTGCTGACTATGATATAATAAAGGAATATTTAAGGTAACCAGTTGTACATTTACTTGCAAGGTGGCACATTTCAATTTACTATTTGATTTTTAGACGTATTTTACTTTCTAGGTTGTAGCAACTCCATTTTCATTACAGCATCCTGAGTACATTAAAAATGTCCAGCATGCTAGGGTCAACTGCACCCAGTGGTCCCATTCGGCTTTTAGCTGTCCCCGGGTATGAAGGCCGGGTCAATGATGTTATTTATCACCCTCCACAAACTCGTTCAGAAGAAGATTCTGCTGTAATATATTTTGGTGGAGATGTACAGGTAAATTTCTAAATATTATTTGATTTGTGCCGTATAATAGTGTGTTTATGCTGTACGCTTTTGTTCACGTACAGGATTATAAGGAAAATATGGAAGGTCACCGAGATAATAAACCATACATGAAGTGGAGTTTAGATGAAACTAGTGAGCGACTTAGTAAACGCTTTCCTACCTGCCATATTGTTGTTGTACGTCCAGTTAGGTAAGCCTAAGACATCCTAAATCCATTATACATTTGAAAACAATGAGCAGCCTCCTTATAAAAGTCAAGATTTTTCCCCACTCTTTGTGTAGTGCAGCTTTTTATCATTTTACTTTTCATTTACTGATATGCTTTTTTAACCATGTTCTGCATGTAGAAGGATGATTTGCCAAAATTGTAGTTTGATGCAGGGGTAGCTTGATAAATCTTAATTGTATCTCAATAAATTAATCTTATTCAAATCTAACCCAATATATAAGGGAATAGAAGATAATTTACTGCTCTTTCCTACTTGTCCTGAAAGTGAACCCGAAGCTTTCTTCCCCAGTTTTTACTCTTTTACAATTTATAAGGTGGCATTTTAGGTTTGGTTTTTCTGTACTAAATTACTACGTACTTTCATCTGTTGCTTAAACTGTTCACTATTCTGTAAAGTTGACAAATATTAATTTCAACAATATTGAAAATTGGTGCACTTGTATTAACAGCAGAAGTATTTTACTACTGAATGTACTTATGCATATTAATAATATTTGAAATTGTGGGTTGCACATTCATGGGTTTACATTGAATTTTTCAGTTTGATCTGTAACATATGTTTGTTTGTTTAAATAGATCGACTACTCCTAAACTTGCCACCTTCATGGATTTTGTATCAGCTGAAATGGATCATAACAGGCAAGTAAATTGTTTTCTAATATATTTAACTTTACTTCTTTTGGCATAAATATTTTACCAATAATATCTTAAAGACAAATAATTAAGAATTTGGTTCTTTTGTTAAATTTTTACTGCATGCTAGTAGTGCAAACACATTTAAATATTGCAAACTTGTTTATTTAGCAAGTTGATAGGATTAATGCTCACCAAGCAGGGCAAAGAACATAGCATAGATGGATAATCAAGGGAACACAATTAAAATTTTGGCACAAAACATGAGACACTAACTTTCTTGGGTCACCCAATGAGTCCTTCCTCCACTATTCACATTAGCCCTGGGACGTAAAGGAACTAACTCCCTCACCTGAGGGCCAAACATGTGTAGGGGAGAACTCTCTAAACCCATTGGTATGGTATTGTATCTCTGACAGGTTACTGTTTCTATTTCCCAGATTGTTTCAGGTGTTGTGAAGTACTTATATTTTGATTTGCTTTCAGGATGGAATTCAAAACATTTAGCTGCTATGATAATTTTGTTCCATGCAATAACTGTGGTGCTCCAGAACACACACCCACCCATTACACTTTGCAGCATCTGGAAAGACTCCTTCAATGTGCCTCTGCTCGGTTACGTAATATGTCCATAAGTCAGTTAAGGTCGCAAGCGCAAAAAGATGCAAAACCATCCACTGACAGCACAACAAGCACTGATGTTGGTAGCTCTTCAAGTAGTGTCTGTCAAAATGAAGTAGCGACACTAGTAAGTTAGATCAATTGATGTAAATAAATGTTATTTTTCAGAAATAGTGAATAACATTTTTGGTTTCTTTGTTTCAGGAATCTAAACTGGTTCCAGACCAAAAGCTGGAAAAAGATCAGGAAAAGATTTGGTGGAGGGAAGGTATCCAATTGGATCGTGCACATTTGATTCTCATTGGTTTCAGTAAAGGATGTGTAGTATTGAACCAGATTATTTATGAATTTCACTATTTGAAAACACTTACCCCTGATGATGATACAATGTCCAAAATAGTATCTCGGATTAGAGAAATGTACTGGCTTGATGGTGGTCATTCTGGTGGTAAAAACACATGGATTACTTCACGGAGTCTTCTTGAAACTTTAACCAGACTTAGTAAGTATAAATCTCACAAAGTAATAGGAAATAACCTTTTTGATCAATCAGATAAAATTAACAAGTTTTGAATTTCTTGCAGGCATTAATATACATGTGCATGTAACACCTTATCAAGTTAATGATGATAGAAGACCGTGGATACGTAAGGAAGAAAAGGCTTTTTGTGATCTCCTGCGCAGGCTAAATGCTCCAATAGAGAGAACTTTTCATTTTGAAAATCAATTACCCACATTGCTCACCCACTTTGAAGTTCATAATGTATTCAGGCCTGAGGGAGGTTGTGAAAATGCCTCATCTTCCCCGCCAGAGACCTAAAGCTTTGTGTAAAAGTCTTGTTCCTCAGTCCCCTTTGACAGAAGAAGCGTGATTTCCTGTTTCTCATCCTCTATAAAGACTTGTAAGGTTCAAGATTTAATCTTACTTGTCAATTGGTTTTGACAGAACACTTCTGGTTCTTTCATTAGAGGAATAAATACTTTGGTTATCTGTCAGTTCCTCCCATGTATTTTATCTATCACCATCAAGTCATACATGCGCAAAGCTAGTCGCTCTAAGCTCTCATGATATTTAAAATTCGTCAGTTTTGTAAATATTCATATGGAATACATATAAATTGCTGTATTCTTGAGCTGTCTGGGTAAACAGTATGATGTTTCATCTTCATATCTACTTTAAAGTATGTGAATTTTTCTGTGCCAAATGCTTTGAGTAGATATATACTGTTTGTTCAAACATCTATAAATATGTTACCACTGAAAACAAAACATCTATATGACACTTCCCACATGTGATCTGTGGTATGGGTCTAGAGCTCATTTTCTAGCCCACCCTGTACAGTATATGGTATTTTTGTAAATCTATTACTTATGTCACTATTGTTTCCATTTCTAATTGGAATGTGGGCAAACAAATTTTGACAACAAAACGTACAATCATTCACAGAAATTGAGTTGGATGTGGATTATACTTCATGTACTGCAGGTAGAATTGTCTTCATTTTATGTTAGTCTTGCTTCAAACTCAAATCTATCTTTGATTCTGTTTTGTTCTGTTCTGTAACTTGTTCCCTGTACTACCTAGGAAAGATAGATGCATAGAAGAAGTGGCCATGCATAGGTATTTTATCATAAGACTGGATAGTTTCTTGGTTTTATATATTTCAGATAGACAAACTTCATTTTATATGAAATTTTATTCTCTATCGTAATCTGAGGCTGTTTTATACAACAATACTACCTAAATGAGATTCAGTTCCCTCATGAAAAGAGCATGCCTGCCGCTGGCTCGGTACTTTGTTCATACAAACTATATTGTTTTTATATTTATGTTATTACTGTATCTCTCACACAAGAGTCTTGGTGTGCATTGCTTTTTTTATTCATTTCCATATTTATTTATGTCTCAGTCAAAATTTTCTTCATCTGAATTGACTTTTCTGCTTTTAACGGTTGTAGTGAAATTTGAAAGGACCTTCTCTACTGTGTGTAACTGATAGAAGAAACCCTTATCTTACCTACTTGTTGTGAATGGTCAGTTTGGCTCTCTACAAGGCTATAAGAAATGAAAGTTTTCATTGAAAGTAGTTCTTGTTGTGTCCACCTATTTTTATTTTGTTGAAATTTCCAAATGTCTTCGACATGTGCTACCAGATAAGGGTATAGCGAATTGTTGTCCAAGGCATACACACATTTTTATTTTTTTAAAGTGCAAAAGCTATGGAATGGTGGAAGTAGTGCACCTTGGAAATTATTTCACACAACCTGTTATTTCTTTTTACATTGTTCAGAATCTGTAAGTGGCTCATGGTTGGTCTCAGTTTAATAAGTTCTCTAGATTGGTTGTCAGGAGCAGTTCACTTTACAATTTTCTTGCGCTTTTTCCAAAAGGCTACTCCTATGATAAACTGTTGTTTCCCCTGACGCACTTGAATCCTTGAATACTCATAAAAATGCGCTTAAAAGTGTTATGAATTGGTGATTCATTGAATGCTTTGATGTTTTAAACATGTCATCAATTTGTCATGTGCGCCTTTCTATGCACATTGAAGTGCTTTTAATGCCTTAAGTGCTTCAGGGGTTGATTGGGACTATATATGAAAACTGTGATGTTGATACCTATCTTTTTATGTGTTGTATGAGGAATCTCTTTATAATTTGTGTTCCCTTTTATTTGAACAATATTTTCTCAAGGATGTAGTTGTTGTGTCTTCTCAGGCACAGCAACTATTTCTATCTCTATATGGATCTATTTCTAACATGATTACTGCAGGATAAATGAGCATGTATTCTCAAGCATGTGTACTTAAACCAAAGAACTTTCAACATTTCTGATGGTACACCCAATTTTCCCCCCCTCTCTCTCTCTCTCTCCCTCTCTCTCACCCTCTCTCTCACAGGGTAATTAATGCCTTTGTGTGAGGAAATTGTAATCATGTTTCTCTTGCCATTGCATTTTTAAGATAACATTCCACAACTGTAGTTTATACTTGAAGTATTAACCATAAAGAAACTGATTTTACATGATATTATGTGGACTTGCAATTTACTGTTTTACCAAATGGAATATTTTATGAGGACATAATTGTAGTGGGTAATTTTTTAAAAATTAATCAAATTAGTGAAGAATAAGTGTTTATTTATTAATAAAAATTGTGATTTGAAGTACAATTTATTGTTTTTTTCTGAAAGATTTACTCCTATGCCCCTTTCCTCTGTGCCTGGACGATGTTCGAGATATCCGTCTATTCCTTATTTCCGTTTGATTCAATTTAATCAAGGTTAGTGTTGCTTAAATGCTTTTGGCATTCTCACGAATGACCCCATGCTTCTACTCGGTCTCGGTCATGACATGATGGTGGTATGGTCAGCTGCTGCTGCTGCTGGCATGGGCATAGTCATGAGGTCACGGGGTTGCGCGTTCGCGTTTTATAACGACAGTACCAATCTTACAACTTAATTCATTGTTCTCGATCTCGATCAAAATTAGAAGTTTAACTTCTTGTACATTCCTTGAATGTTACATTTTTAATGAAATGTAGCATTTTGAGAAGGGGTGTTGTAACATCTCAACGTGAGCTGATTTTCAACTGAAACCTTGCGCTGACGATTGCAAGCAAAAGCAAGCAAGACTGCTGCCTGCCTGCCTGGTGGGCAGCGCAAACAAACGTCATGTCGAGGGTCTTGTTGCCGTTGTTGCGAGTAGATGTTTGGGTGCATTTATATGTTTACTGTTGCTAAGTGAAAACAGAAATTTGCTGAACTTTAGATAATTTTGTCGTCAGGGTGTGAGGTACCTTCTCTTCCGAGTATCGCTTTATTGGTCGAGCAAGACTGACTTGGTCGAGGGAGTGTGCACATAACCAAGCAAATCATCATGTATTGCCTTCAATGGTTGATACCTGTTTTACTTATCCCAAAGCCACTCAACCCGGCTCTTCTTAACACCCATGTAATGTTTATGTTACTTTACATGGTTAGCTTTTTCTTGGAGCGCAAACCTTGCTCCATCTGCAGTCTCATATTTGTTGCAGCAGTATTTTTGATATGCTACAGTGGCTTCGGTAACTGTATACTCTGGAACAACATTTGTGATGTAAACCGTTGTGAGAATGGATGACTCATATATGGACTGCATGGCAGTGCAATATTACATGCACTAAATATCACACTGAAGACGAACCACCTGGACTAGCATTGGCTTCTGATCAATGACGTTTTGTTATCATTTTTAAAAAAATTCTATGTTCACTAGAAGATTAATTTTAGTATTTATTCATTTTAGTGTTTTTTCTATTGGCTTACAGCTGTAAGCATTTGTTCAGCGTTTAGTATTGAAATGTATCATATTGTTTCCATTCTCGTCTAGTGACTCATTGTTGAGTTGAGATTGGAGATGGTTAGGAAATTTGTGTAAATTTTCATGTCTCATAGGGTATTTTACTCTCTGAAAAGTCCATTCTTTAATTCCAAATTTTTTGTGTTATGAAATTGGAATTTAAAGTGTGGTTCCTTTTCATAAGGGTATAGTTTTTTATAAGTTTTGAAATTCAGACACATGTTCCCAAAACAATTCTTGTCATTTCTATCTTATTAAGGATTCATATTAATTAATTTAAGGTTGTAGTTCTGATTGTACTAAGTCATTAATCTTTGATTTGTGCAAGTGCCACATTGATTTTAGAATAAATTAATGAACTGAATTTTCTAGAACTTTAATCTTAGCGTCAGACAAGTGCTTGTAAATATATTTTTTTGTAAATTATGTAACTGCACGTCTTTAAGATCATCCTGCTGGTCTAAATATCTATATCTATCCACGCCCTTACAAATTTGATTTTCTTCCATATACTATGTATTTCAATGATTCTATGACCTTTTGTCTTAAATACAATATTTTCAGTTGACTTATTGATTGACAGATAATTCTTTAGTTTCCATTGTAAGCCAAAATGTTGGTATATTTTTCAGTTTTGTTCCTATGATATGAGAAGTTTGTAAGGTCATTTGTAGTAATTTTTGTAATATAACAAGACTTTGCTCAAGTCTTCAATAGACCTTAAATCCCTTATGGACTAAGAGCATACATATCTGTAGTTGATTTAGGCATTGAAATTATTTAGTAGAGAACTTTTCCAAACCTGTCTTAAAGGGTTCTTATTCTAGTGAGAATTTTATTGTCTGTATTTTAGGTAGGACATTAAAGGATATAAAATTATTGTTGACCTGCATTGAACCTGCAAATGAAATTGTAACACTGGGATTTGTGGTATTTTGTTGAAGAGATTGGATTTTGCTCAAGGTTCACGTTTTCATTAATAGTTTACTCAATTTTCTTTCTAATGTGACTTAAAAGACAGACTTAATTCTTCTAGTCCTTAACTCCTTTTATGTCATGTGCTTCCAGAATTTTTAACCAATGACTAAACTATTTTTACCAACTCAGTCCTTCAATGTCTTGTATCTATGTTAGTTGGTGATTTAGGACAGTTGAACTGGTCCTTTTCTCTTTTTGCATATTAAAAGTCATCACTGAGCAGATCAAAATGTGGTGACTGTTCTTTAGACTTAGTTCAGCTAATTTAAATTATGATAGAGTTGGGTCATAGAAAACTCAATTTTTTTGGGGAAAGATAATTTAGTCTCATTGTTGACTGTTTAAGGCTGAAGCTCAATCAAAAGCCCACATGCAAATAAATTTCTAATTTTTCTCTTTATAAAATAAGCCTTAAGTAAGCTTTGCTTTTTTTCCCATCGTACACTGTTATTCTAATGCATTATAAATCAGATATCTTTTATGGGCTGTGATTTTTGCTATCCCAAATTTTAAGCAGTGATAAATACATATAACTGATATGCTTGCTTTCCTTTGTACATTCATTTAAAAAATATTGAGTAACCGAAACGCCATAGCAGGGCAAAAAAAATTGTTAATAAAAGTGTTTAATTGCTGCGTAACTGAATTGCTGCATTCCAACCCAAAATCCTAACAGCACAACACGAAGAGACAAACAATTCTACTCCACATGTATTAACATGTATTATACAATTATACACATCAACATTTCAACGAAACTTGTACCCAAATGCTCTACTTTAGGTCAACCTGGTTAACATTGACTTTCTCAAGTGTTGACTTGCTTACACCTGAAATTGAAAAGTTGAAACTCGCGCGGCGGTACTTTGTGAGTCAGTGCAGTCAAGGTGCATGCTGTTTTTTTTATTTTTTTAAAAAATCACTCCCATTTTCAGATGTACCTTGGCAAAGGGACAATGCAAGTGCACAATTTAAGAATTAAAATAGATGTAAATTTTGATACATAGTTTATCTATTCACTTGTAATTAGATTGTGTCACTCATTTCACTTTGCATTTTGCTCACGTTTCACTTTTCAGGTTGGCAACACTGATACAAGAGTTGAATCACGACTTCGCCATTTTGGAGGGCAGTGACGCTGCCGGGGCCGGGTAGAGAAGGTGCACTATCTTGGTGCGCCGAAAATTGTAATTGCTCTAATTTTATTGGAGTAATTAATATTTTTTGGCACCATGCAGGCCCACAGCAAAAAGCGCGTTTGCTACTACTACGACAGTAAGTTTGTATCTTTTCTTCATGCATCCAACACGCTCTCTGAAAGTGTGGTTCACACCCGTTGTACCTTTGCTGATAGGCTGACTGTTTTCACTCTCCGCTATTTAAGGTGACTTTAAAGGTTTCAAAACACGCACTTACTGCCACGTACAATGTGTTATTTTCATTTTGTTCTGATCAACAAGTTTTCAGTCCTCGCAGTGTGTCTCCTGGACCCTATCTCGTCAGTGTACTGTTTTCGGCGTCCCTCCGTAGCTTGTTCACGGGTCCATCTTGTTCGGGCCACCGTAGTTCATGGGGGCTTTGCTTGTAATGATTGTTTGGCGGCATCACATCAAAACAATAGTTCTCATTGATTATCTACCTCACGTATACCCTTCCTTCTGGAACTGTCCGAATTAAAATTTTCGATAAATATGAATTTTTATCTGATGACACTTTTTCTTGTACCCTCTTTGTTCAATTATGGCTGTTGAGAGCCGGGAAAGTACGGTTCACCGAGACTGTACCAACGAACCCATCAGTTGTTTGTGTTTGTATATTCTTTACACTCCCACCATGGATTACATTCAACTTTTTCTTTTATATTTTTGTTACAAAATAACTTACTTTCTTTTTGTCATCTGATAGGAACATGTAATTTAATGTAATTGTTTAAATGTCTTGTCAAGTGAAGGAATATTATACAAAATGTGACCAATCATTTTCTTGTACTAACGTTTAGGGTGGCAATTTTTATGGATTTTCAAAATAACTGGCTCTGAATGAGTAAAGCTTAAATATATTAACCAGTTTCTAATAAATACTTATTTTTACAGGTGATATAGGTAATTACTACTATGGACAAGGACATCCGATGAAACCACACAGAATACGCATGACACACAATCTTCTCTTGAACTATGGGTTGTACAGGAAGATGGAAATTTATGTAAGTTATCACAGTACATAAAATGTAATCATTCATGTAGTTTCTAACTAACAGACACATTCTCTCTTTGTTTGATCTTAATAACAGAGACCACACAAGGCAACTGCCGAAGAAATGACCAAATTCCATAGTGATGAATATGTAAGATTTTTACGGAGCATCAGACCAGATAATATGTCTGACTACAACAAACAAATGCAGAGATGTAAGTCAGAAATTGAATTTTTGGTCATAAATGTATATGTTGCCAAATCAAAAACTGACTTATGTGTTATTTTTCAGTTAATGTTGGAGAGGATTGCCCTGTATTCGATGGGTTGTATGAGTTTTGCCAATTGTCTGCTGGTGGTTCAGTCGCAGCAGCAGTCAAATTGAACAAACAAGCTTCTGAAATCTGTATCAATTGGGGAGGTGGACTTCATCATGCCAAAAAGAGTGAAGCCTCAGGTATGGCTATTATCATTTTATCTTGCTTTTTGTGAGATAGATGTCTACAGCCATTACTTATTTTTCCCCTATTTATATTTAATTTTTTTAAAAAAAACATTTTTGTTGCATCAGGATTCTGTTATGTAAATGACATAGTTTTGGGCATTTTGGAACTGCTGAAGTACCATCAACGAGTTTTGTACATTGATATTGATGTGCATCATGGTGATGGTGTTGAAGAAGCATTCTACACTACCGACAGAGTCATGACTGTGTCATTCCACAAATATGGTGAATACTTTCCTGGAACAGGTGACCTCAGGGTAAGTGTTTTCACTTTTATTTCGTGCCATTAAATACAGAATAAGTTCAAAGACTCTAAATTGAATATTTGTTTAGGATATTGGTGCTGGGAAAGGAAAGTACTATGCTGTCAACATTCCTCTCCGGGATGGTATGGATGATGAAAGCTACGAATCTATCTTTGTTCCAATTATCTCAAAAGTTATGGAAACCTTCCAACCAAGTGCTGTTGTTCTTCAATGTGGGGCTGATTCACTCACCGGTGATAGATTAGGGTGCTTCAATCTCACTGTCAGAGGTTGGTATCTTTTTAAAAAAAAAAAACTTCAAACTAATTTGAGCTGATTTATTTATCTGCACCTGTAAATAGTACTTCACATCGTACAATTACAAGAATTCAGAAATATATTTTTTATTTTTTTATTTTCAGGACACGGAAAATGTGTGGAATTTGTGAAGAAATATGGAATGCCTTTCCTCATGGTTGGAGGTGGAGGATACACCATCCGTAATGTATCAAGATGCTGGACCTATGAAACATCAGTAGCTCTCGGAACTGAAATAGCAAATGAACTGCCTTACAATGATTATTTTGAGTATTTTGGACCAGATTTTAAGTTGCATATCAGCCCATCCAACATGGCTAACCAGAATACTCCAGAATACCTTGAAAAGATAAAGTAAGTCTTATCCTTATTCGTAAATGCACTATACTAAATTTACCAGTACAGATTTTTGTAACGCTGAAATGCTATCTTGTTCTGTAGGACAAGGCTGTTTGAAAACTTGAGAATGCTTCCTCATGCTCCAGGAGTTCAAGTTCAAGGTATGAAATATCCACACTTTCATGCACTTGAATATTTAAATGTATCAAATGCTTGAAAATTGTTTTTCTTTCTGGCCAACAGCTATTCCCGAAGATGCAGTTCGAGAAGAATCTGACGATGATGATAAAGCCAACCCAGATGAGAGACTTACTCAGGCAGCTCTTGATAAACGTATCGTTCCTGACAATGAATTCAGTGATTCTGAAGATGAAGGTGAGGGCGGCAGAAGAAACGATCGTTCATTCAAGGGTAGAAAACGTCCCCGTTTAGATACGAAGACTCCAGCTGATGCTAATGAGGAGAAGCTGAAGAGTGAGGGAGATGGTGCCAAACCAGAGGGCAAGAGTGAGTATTGACATTTTCTGTACAGACTTGAAAATATGACAAATGACTAATGGGACTAAATTTCATCTTCTCTTTTGCAGCTGAAGAGAAGGACGAGAAAGTGGCATCTAGTGACGATGCTAAAAAGGATGCTGCACCAAATCCTTGATAATTTTTAGGTTACTGATTTTGACATCAAATTTGTTGCTCTCTGCAATTTGAGGGTTTGCAGTGTTTCTGATTCTTCAGTCCGTCTGGGTGTATCAATTTTTAATAGCAGTTTGGATATCAAGTGTGGTAATAATACCTTTTCAACCATGGTCATAGTACAAGTTATTTATTATAAAATATTGAATCCCACCCTTCAAAACAGAATGAGGGAGTTGTGACTATTTTTCAGGGAATCATAAAAGCAAATGTATGTATTATTTTGAAGTGGATCAGTCATGCCAATGAATTGTCCACTATATGTAAATTAATTCTTAAGCAATCTTCTTACTTCATTGGAAAATCTTTCCAATGTTGTTTTGTGATCTCCATAGTGTGCAGTAATTGATGCTGTTTTTTGGATATGGTCTCAGTTTTGATCATTTCATAGGCTAAGAATTGTTTTACAATTCACCTTTCTGTTCATTAGAATAGAGCAACAAATACTTCATTAACTTTCATTATCTAAACTGCTTTAAGTGTCAATTGGGAGGCACTCCTAGTAACTTTCATGATATCAAGTCATGAATGTGAATAGTCTTCATTTTATTGAATAACACATTTCTGTGATCTGACTTAATCTCTAACTTAATGTTTTTGCACTGTAGAATTTATTGTTGAACTCTAGAGTGTGGTCAAATCCATCTTCTTGTAGATGGACCAAAGAAGTAACTTCTGCAGTGTACGCATTCACTTTGCTGCAAAAACTGTATCTGAATTACCAAGACTTTTCTGAGCATTGTCCATCAGCTCGAGAATTGTACCTGATTTTGTGAAACTGGGGCTTTGTCTTGTAGTTGCTGTACACTGTTCGGTTAGCTAAAACCTCACTTAAACTGAAGAAATTAAGTTTTACCCTTGGTATTGTTTGGTTGCTCTGCTCATGATTGTAAACTCTTGTCTAGTTCCTTTACTTTCCACATTTTATAAAATTATTGGTTGTCTTTAACTGTGGTATATTTTTTTAATGCCAGGCATAATCTTGAGTGGCTTTGTGGTGCTAAAATGGCTTACAATTCTTGCATTTAGACTTAGTTGAGTGTATTGAAATTGTTAATGCAGCCTTTAAAGTGATTATTTTCTGTAATCAGTTTCCGTTTAGTAATCTAACATTTGGAACAATCAGTAAGTCTTCTCAGTACCAGCCATTTGCTGAAGTAAGGTGATGGTAAGGTAAAGGACCATTACTATCGCTTTTATTTTTGTTGTAACATTTATGACAGCAAGCTCTTGGAGAATTCTGCTGTGTGTCTGTACTATTGAAGCAAATCATTTCCTTGATCTTATTCGTCCTACTGCTATAGTTAATTATGTTCATTTATTATCAAGCTTGCAGAGGTATGAGACTTCTCACCAAAGCTTTCAGTAACTAAGCTATATTTAGTAATTATGTTTATATTTTACTCACCGGTGATAGATTAGGGTGCTTCAATCTCACTGTCAGAGGTTGGTATCTTTTTAAAAAAAAAAAACTTCAAACTAATTTGAGCTGATTTATTTATCTGCACCTGTAAATAGTACTTCACATCGTACAATTACAAGAATTCAGAAATATATTTTTTATTTTTTTATTTTCAGGACACGGAAAATGTGTGGAATTTGTGAAGAAATATGGAATGCCTTTCCTCATGGTTGGAGGTGGAGGATACACCATCCGTAATGTATCAAGATGCTGGACCTATGAAACATCAGTAGCTCTCGGAACTGAAATAGCAAATGAACTGCCTTACAATGATTATTTTGAGTATTTTGGACCAGATTTTAAGTTGCATATCAGCCCATCCAACATGGCTAACCAGAATACTCCAGAATACCTTGAAAAGATAAAGTAAGTCTTATCCTTATTCGTAAATGCACTATACTAAATTTACCAGTACAGATTTTTGTAACGCTGAAATGCTATCTTGTTCTGTAGGACAAGGCTGTTTGAAAACTTGAGAATGCTTCCTCATGCTCCAGGAGTTCAAGTTCAAGGTATGAAATATCCACACTTTCATGCACTTGAATATTTAAATGTATCAAATGCTTGAAAATTGTTTTTCTTTCTGGCCAACAGCTATTCCCGAAGATGCAGTTCGAGAAGAATCTGACGATGATGATAAAGCCAACCCAGATGAGAGACTTACTCAGGCAGCTCTTGATAAACGTATCGTTCCTGACAATGAATTCAGTGATTCTGAAGATGAAGGTGAGGGCGGCAGAAGAAACGATCGTTCATTCAAGGGTAGAAAACGTCCCCGTTTAGATACGAAGACTCCAGCTGATGCTAATGAGGAGAAGCTGAAGAGTGAGGGAGATGGTGCCAAACCAGAGGGCAAGAGTGAGTATTGACATTTTCTGTACAGACTTGAAAATATGACAAATGACTAATGGGACTAAATTTCATCTTCTCTTTTGCAGCTGAAGAGAAGGACGAGAAAGTGGCATCTAGTGACGATGCTAAAAAGGATGCTGCACCAAATCCTTGATAATTTTTAGGTTACTGATTTTGACATCAAATTTGTTGCTCTCTGCAATTTGAGGGTTTGCAGTGTTTCTGATTCTTCAGTCCGTCTGGGTGTATCAATTTTTAATAGCAGTTTGGATATCAAGTGTGGTAATAATACCTTTTCAACCATGGTCATAGTACAAGTTATTTATTATAAAATATTGAATCCCACCCTTCAAAACAGAATGAGGGAGTTGTGACTATTTTTCAGGGAATCATAAAAGCAAATGTATGTATTATTTTGAAGTGGATCAGTCATGCCAATGAATTGTCCACTATATGTAAATTAATTCTTAAGCAATCTTCTTACTTCATTGGAAAATCTTTCCAATGTTGTTTTGTGATCTCCATAGTGTGCAGTAATTGATGCTGTTTTTTGGATATGGTCTCAGTTTTGATCATTTCATAGGCTAAGAATTGTTTTACAATTCACCTTTCTGTTCATTAGAATAGAGCAACAAATACTTCATTAACTTTCATTATCTAAACTGCTTTAAGTGTCAATTGGGAGGCACTCCTAGTAACTTTCATGATATCAAGTCATGAATGTGAATAGTCTTCATTTTATTGAATAACACATTTCTGTGATCTGACTTAATCTCTAACTTAATGTTTTTGCACTGTAGAATTTATTGTTGAACTCTAGAGTGTGGTCAAATCCATCTTCTTGTAGATGGACCAAAGAAGTAACTTCTGCAGTGTACGCATTCACTTTGCTGCAAAAACTGTATCTGAATTACCAAGACTTTTCTGAGCATTGTCCATCAGCTCGAGAATTGTACCTGATTTTGTGAAACTGGGGCTTTGTCTTGTAGTTGCTGTACACTGTTCGGTTAGCTAAAACCTCACTTAAACTGAAGAAATTAAGTTTTACCCTTGGTATTGTTTGGTTGCTCTGCTCATGATTGTAAACTCTTGTCTAGTTCCTTTACTTTCCACATTTTATAAAATTATTGGTTGTCTTTAACTGTGGTATATTTTTTTAATGCCAGGCATAATCTTGAGTGGCTTTGTGGTGCTAAAATGGCTTACAATTCTTGCATTTAGACTTAGTTGAGTGTATTGAAATTGTTAATGCAGCCTTTAAAGTGATTATTTTCTGTAATCAGTTTCCGTTTAGTAATCTAACATTTGGAACAATCAGTAAGTCTTCTCAGTACCAGCCATTTGCTGAAGTAAGGTGATGGTAAGGTAAAGGACCATTACTATCGCTTTTATTTTTGTTGTAACATTTATGACAGCAAGCTCTTGGAGAATTCTGCTGTGTGTCTGTACTATTGAAGCAAATCATTTCCTTGATCTTATTCGTCCTACTGCTATAGTTAATTATGTTCATTTATTATCAAGCTTGCAGAGGTATGAGACTTCTCACCAAAGCTTTCAGTAACTAAGCTATATTTAGTAATTATGTTTATATTTTAATTTTTTAACATTATGTAATGTAGTATATTGTACTATGTTCTTTTACCGTACCACCACACTACTCAAGGTTGGCAACATTAAAGCACGTTTTATAAATGACTTATTGTTTGCTCTACCATCATTGTTCCTTTTCCTGAGCTGGGGCGGAGGCGAAAATGGACTATGCAAAGATGTCAAATAATGCAATTAAAGTAATCTTCACAATTGTGCAGTATTTTTCGAAATTTATATTGTGCTTGTGAGAAATCGCTGTCCTTAATGGTCAGCTTGAAGCAATGTACAAATTTCGTATGATCCCAATCAACCAATCCTGCCTGCGTGTTCGGCTCAATGCCGAGCCACTTCGTTTTCCACCTTGGTGAGCGCCACGTTCCGCGAGGTCTCTGTACGGAAGGGCACGGCGTCGCCCATGGCGAAGCGCTTGTGGGTGTCGAGGCAGTGGATGGCCGCCGTCAGGGCGAGTATCTTACCCGACAGGTCCTTATCGGTCGCCACCAGGAGGTCCTCCATGCCGTTGTACGTTGCCCTGAGACAGAAGAGGCGCCGTCAAGTCATGTCGTAATTCGTTCCTTCTGCACTTCAAGGTGCCGTCCCTCCGCGCGTTGCACCTACTTTGCGTGGTCCAGGCGGTCCTGCAGCTCTTGCATGGTCCTGCGCAGTTGCAGCACCTCGTCGCACAGCCCTACCATGGGCTCGTCCCGCGCCTGCTCGAGGCCCGGCCGGTATTTGCGGTTCTCAAGGCGGGTCTCGGCCAGCATCAGGCACTCTGTTTTGTCGCGCAGCGCGTTGGTCAGGTCCGCTATCTCCTTGTGCAGCCGTGCCATGGCCTCCTTGAGCTGTAACGATCGCTTTCTTACAACCAGAACCACAAGCGACGCATGCGAGTCCGAGTCACCTACGCCTGCTCAGGTGCACTCACGTTCATCTTTTGCCATTCGAGCTCGTTCTTAGCTCGCTGAGTCTCGTAGACGCACTTGCGCATGGCGAACTCGGTCGCGTCCTTGTGGGCGGTGAGGTCGTTCCTGGCCCTGGCCCGCGCCACCTGCATGGCCTCGCGCAGCTTGGCGCTGCTGGCGAGCTCGTTGTCCCCGCGGAGCTTGGTGCAACGGCAGTGGTCGAGCCAGGACTCGTACGGGACGATGCTGTTGCAAGGACACGGTGAAGCACGTCGGCAGGCATCCTTGCAGACTCGACTGCTTATATAGTACGTACTTGTTGACGATCTCGGTGGGGTCGGGCTTGAACGTGATGCCGGCGCAGCTGCGGTCTCGCGCCAAGTTGTCGTGGTCGATCTCGAGCGTGTCGTCCTGGTCGCGGGTAGCCTGCCGCAGGCTGCAGGCCGCCTCCTCCAGGCGATTGTGCTGCTCGAAGGCTGCGTGGCAGCGCTCCGTCAGCATGGCCTTGTGCGCCTCCAGCGCCGCGATCTCCTGCCGAGCCCATGTACCATGTCACCCGAGTAGAGCTAGTGCCCCACCACGCCCCACCCCGACGCTACGCACATCCTTGAGCTCCTGCTCGCGCTCGGCGTCCACCAGGTCCGGGACGACCCGCCGGTCGATGATGGCCTGGCACTCGGCCTCCACCAAGAAACACGTGGCGATGCTCTCCAGCTCCTGCTCGCAAATCTCCTTCTCGGCGGCCAGGTCTCGCTGCTCTGCTTCCACCTGGCGCAGGCAGCGGCCGAGGATCTCCTGCCAGCGGCCGACCTGCAAGCAGTGTGCGGTCGGTGAGGTATGAACCCTCGCGCTCGCGGTGACCCGGAGGTCGGGTCCCGGACCGCGCTGGGCCTCACCTCGGTGACGCGGTCGGCGAGCCGGCAGTCGTTGTGGTAGGCGTCCCACTTGGTGCGGACGCGCGTCTCGTTGCGCAGCGTCCGCGCGTCATTGCGGAAGCGGAAGCCGTCGTGGCGCGCCGTCTGGCCGCACTGCCGCAGCGCCCACACCCCCGCCTGCCAGTCGGCCTTGCTCAGGTGCTGCAGCGGCTTCAGCTGCGACGACAGCGACAGCTGCGTCGACATGGCGGCTGCCACCACCGGGAGGTGCCAACACGGGTACCGAGGGAGTGGACCAGCTGGAGAAGAGAGGACGGTTACGGTTGCAGTGACAGATCGGCTCCGACAGCGGCGGTGACGGCGCTGTAACGTTCAATATGAACAGTCGATTCGAAAGATGAACAAATGATATGATGATGATGTACAAAGCACTTGTATTTCAGTTGCAATCGGTGGTTCACAGTTCACAGTAGTTTACAGTTGAGCTTTGCGGTGTTAACAGTCTTAAGACAGTGGGTTCACAAACACTCTACTGGAGATACGGGTTGCCCGCCTCGTCCGACAGTCTCGGCGGCTGATACGTAACTAACTCTGCTCCACACGGCTGCGCCGTGTGTCCATCCCTATTCTGCTGAACTATGCAGTTTTGCTCCAACGCGCTGGCCCTTGCGTCTGGCCTGACACGGCGGGATATTCAAAGACTCAAGGATCGCCGGTCGCCCTGCGTCCGGCGTACCTTACAGCGCCGGTGCGCACGCGGTTTGGTTTGCCTACCTGCTCCTGCTGCGCTGCGCTCCGATGCTCTCCGGCCGGGTGCGCCCGTCTACATGCCGGCTGCGGGGGCGTCTAGGGGGCTGCAGTGGGAGGGAGATTGTTGGCAGTGCGTTACCTGGGTAACTGGGCTCCCGCCGCCCCACCGTTGCACTCCGCGCACGCACCACTCCAGCCCCTCCAGCCCGGGGGCTCAGTGGATCGCCACCCCGCTGCTGTCCGCCCGACAGAGGACTGGGTAGCGTGACCCAGACACCTTTCAGATCCCTGATTCTTTATGATCCTGGATAGTTTCGACAAGGCGGCGTCATCCGGAAAGTAGTATTCCTGGAAGCTCCTCATTGCGCCTGATTGGTAGGCAACATCTTGCCTGAAGTGCATGCGTGCGCTGCAGGGTGGCCTACCCCGAGTCTCGCAGGCGCCGAGCTCCCCTGAATGAATATCAGGAAAACGGGAAGTACTCTCTGGACGCTCCCCGAGCGTTGGGGGGTGAGTTGTACAGCCCGAGCCCGTGCACAGTCGGCACAGTATACACGCACGGCCGTGCGCGAATGAGCTTTTTGTCCCGGCCTGTACTTTACCTGGCCATGCGGACTGCTGCTGAGCCCTCCCAACATTCCGCCCTCCCGACGCCCCACGTGGGGACGCCGGCCTCCCTCCTGTGGCAGTGGGGCGGCGGGGCGCGACGGGCCGCGGTGGTGGGGTGCGAGGGGAAGGGTGGGTCGTTTGCCGCCCCAAGCCGTCTGCTCGGCAACAACTAGGGTGGCCCCAATACGCCCCAATCCCAATGTAAAGCGCTGCAGTCTCGTCACTCTTGGGTATTGTGTTGGACAGGAGTCTAAACGCGATCGACGTTGTTCAGCTGCTATTCGAGAATGCAATCTGCGCGTCTGAAGATATGATGCAGTGACGAATTCCGTCACATCTCCCGTCTCCCCTTTGCCGTTGCGCCTGTATGCGTCAGACGTGGCCGCTGCAGAAGCCGGGCGGCGTGCGGCCACCCTAGACGCCGAGGGGCGGAGAGCTGGTGTCGGGCCTAGGGGCGGCGGGCGGTGGCGCGCCGAGCCGCGCCAGGGCGGGGGCCACCCCGAGCCCGGGCCGAGGGTTGGGCTGCCACGAGGCGTGGCGCGGCGCGGCGGGGTGCGAGGGGCTCACCCTTACGCAGAAACGCACCCTTATTGATCGTAGAACTGCCGCGCAGGTTGTAGCAACAGCTGCTGTTATTGCCCTCACTGTTGCTGTCTGCTCGGGGGACGCGCTTCCGCGCGCGCCGCACCTGCCGCCTGCCACATCTGCGGCAGCAGCTGCAGGTGCACATCTGCCGTGCGGGCCACGCGCCCGCGGCTAGCGACAGCAAAGAAGCGGTTATAGTTCTGTTTGTGCCCCGAGCCCACCCCGCGGTGGTGCTTGGGCGGAGGGGGGTCCCCGCCGAGGGATGACGTGTAGGATGTCGTCCAGACGCGTTATTCGCTCCGGCCCGCTTAACCCGGGCCACTATCCGGCCGCTCCGGCCTGACAAAGTGGAGTCGCACAATATTAGAGGGGACAAGTCGGCCGAAGGGTTATCACGGCCCTAAATCACGTCCAGCTCCGCGGCGGCGCCCCTCCCGCTCCCGCTCCCGCTCCCCTTCCTGTCCCATCCCTCCTCACATATGCGGCGAGTCCGGTCGGTTTGTGTCCGGCGAAGCTCGGCGGAAGCGCCGAGGTCATGAAGTGCAGCACGCAGCCTCTCGCCGATCCACGCGCGTCTGCTGCCCCCTTCATATTCAGAGCGGGCATTTCTTTATTTCTTTCTTGGCTGCCTCGACATATGAGTATGAGGAATTTGTCATCCCTTCGTGAGCATCAGGGGAGCTTGCAGACGGAGAAGAACTCATGCAGGGGTGGCGCAGCAGCAGCCCCAGCCAGCGCATGCGGTGCACAGGTGTGTGTGTGCGTGCGCGCGAGCGCGCCCCCGTGTGCCCCCGTGTGCCACAGCAGCTCCCCGCCAACTCCCCGCCGGCCTCATAAAAGAGTGAAAGTTCAATACACCTCCACGCTCCGCCACGGGGTGCACCTGCCCCGGCATGCCGTATGTTTATTTACGGCGCAGGCCGGAGCCGCGGGGTGGCCGGGGCGCGGGCGCACCACCTGAGCCAGGAGGGGGCCTACAACAGGGAGGGGAGGAGGCCATCGGATGCAGGATGTGCGCGACAGCCGCGGGTGCAGGTTCAAAATAAAAGGGACAGCCACGGGAGACCTCTGGACTCTCACGTCGACCCACGGGGTTGTTCCTGGGCTGGCCCGGGCCAGGGCGGATGAGTTAGCTTGGCGGGCAATATTGTCCTTGGGGCGCCCATCTCGGCTCGGCAAAGGGTTGCGAAGGACGTCTTAACCTTCCCTGAAATAAGAGCCCAGGCACTCGGGGGCAACAGGGCGTGCAGGGAGGGGGAGGGGGGCGGCTTACCCTTCTTCCTACTTCAACCGCGCGCCCCCGAGACCGAGCGTCCCCTTACTCCACTCCACGGCACGTCAACGACGGGGAAAATTAGAATCGCGCGCGCTGCCTGAGGCTGGCTGAGCTCGGTTCAAACTCCAAAGGGCGAGGCTAAGGAGGGTCGAGCCATCCCGGGGCTTGGGGGGTCGGACGGACGGGACGGGGGGCCGCCGCCGGCCGATTTAGGTCCAATGGGGTGTCACTGGCTCGGAGGCAGGGCAGGCGTAGGTGACCGGCACGCGCGTGACTCTCTGTCCTTCTCCCCCGCCCCTCTCGCTCTCCCTCTCTCTTTCCCTCCGCTTCCCACCCCTGCAAAACAAAGAGCCGCGCCACGTGCGGGGTCGTCGCAGCGGGCTCGAGTAATTGCGCCCCGCTCCCATCCCCCACCTGCCCCTCCCCCCTCCCCCAACCGAACGAAAAACCATCCGCCCGAGTCAGGTAAACGGTAAACCTTCCCCCCCCGTATACGGGCCCGGACCCGGCTGGGGCTGAGGGGAAAGGAAACCGAACCGAACGGCACGGCGGTGGCGGCGGGTGGGACAGCGGCGTGAAATATCGCCATCTCTATGCCAATAGATCGCCCGCCGAACGGCATCGTAAATTTTTCATACCGTACCCCGGCCGCGCCGCCGTGTTCCATTCCGACCGCAGGCCCGGCCTGCCCGGCGGCGGCCCAGGAAGCCAGCCCCCCGGAGCCGCCTTACGCTTCCGTACATCCGCGTGCGTCGTCTTGTTTCATGGCGCGGCCAGAAGAGGGGAGGGGGGGAGGGGAGGAGGGGTATCAGGAGCTAGGAGGGCACCACGTCCTCGTCCTCCGTGAGCGCGCCGCGGGCCTCCTGGCCGGGCTGGCAACATGTGGCCCATTGTCCAGCCGCAACGTCGCCGTGGTCCTGCGGCTGCCAGCTCGGCGTCCAGTCCAGACCGCTAGCAGCGGTCCGATTTGGGCCGGCTGCCAGCGCGGCTACCAGCTCGGCTGGGCCGCCAGCCCGAGAGGTCGTTGGGCCTGTTGGGGCGGGGCAGGCTTGGCTTGGTCGCGCTCATTTTGTCTTTGTCGGGCCCGACCGCGCGTTGCGCCCCTGCAGCCCGCTGGCAACGACAAAGTGCCACCAGGAGCCCGCCGGGAGCCCCCCGGCGGTGCGCCCCCCC